CGCACACACACACGCACACAGCCTAAGTTGTAATATACTGTAAACACAGTAACATTCATCTTTCTGTCCTCTCCACACTGACATAGACGTCAGTATCTGTGGGATCAGAAGATGTATTCATCTACGCGGGGAGAGAGATATGCAGTCTACACGACTGACTGTGTTCGCACACAGAACATCTGCGGCCTCATTCACAGCTCAATTCCAGACTGCTGCTGATATCCGACTGCTCTGAATGAGAGCTCTATTCCACTACGTCAGCTGCTTCACATCGTGCTGAAAGGATGCAGAAGAGAGGTGTGCAGTTGATATTACGGACGTTTACTCAATCCAAACACTGAAACCTTTTTCTTCTCTCGTGTGCTAATGCTGGTAGGCTGCAGGTAAACGTCAAACCACCTAAATGATAAAAGCAATAGTTTAAATATTTCATTTCTCTGCTCCGCAATAGATGTGAGAAAGACAGGGAGTCTCTACAGTGGAAGAATAGGTTTAATACGTCTCACGTGATTTAGATTGATCCAAAAACGGAGGAAATAATGATTTCCTCCTCCAACACAAAAAGGAGAAACCATCCCTGTTCAGACTCAGGATGATAATATTATGAAAAGTGGTGGGTACGTTTTTGGCAACTAGTAATTTGAGCTCCGTATGACTACATCTAATGCATCTGTGCAGCTTAGACAGAGTGAGCAAGTGATCTCCAGTTTCCATAATCGCACTCTGAGCAACAAAAACGTGACATGGCATTTGCTTATTGCTATGGTAACGCTGCCAAATTTCAGGTCGAGATATCAAATACACCTTGAAATCACCGTTTCGGTGCCCTCACTGCTACAACAAAACAAGAACTAGCGTCCAAAATCTCAATTTGCTGCACAATATAGTGAGTGAAAAAGAGAGGACGCAGCCTAAATGACGGCTACGTTTCAAACATGGAGTTGAAAAACTACAACTAATTTCTAAAACATCCAATCAGCAATAAATCGGAGAGGGGGGGAAACCCTTCGCAGACTTTCAGCAGCAGTGAGCGCACATCTGTATCTGTATGAGACAAAGGCAGACACGGATAAAGAGCTGCTTGCACGTTTAGTTAATTTCATGAGGGGATTATTGGTGGTCTCGGCGGTGCCTTCAATGAGTCGAGGCTCTCGCTGCTGCTCTGCTCCCTTCTGGCTCTCGCATTAACCTATTTAGGGCGGCTTTTAGGCCTCTCCATCACCCCTATACTCTTTCACAATTTATGAGAGCTGAATCGATACGGAGTGGAGCACCTACATGAAAAATGGTTCACATCAAAGAGAGCCCCCCCCCCCCCTCCTCCTCCAAGAGATACCACTCTCCGAATTAATATAACCTAATACACAACAGAGACCCCAGACCCCACAATAACACGTCAGCGCCCAGAGGCTAGTACCCTGTTAGAGGCGTTTTACTTTGCCCTTCCTCCTTCCTGCCATCGTCTGCACCCCCCTCATGAAGCTTAATCAAAAGGTAATTGTGCTTAAAAACAATGAAATAACTCGTAGCACGGCAGCCTGTACAGAGCTTATTGTATGAGCCTCCTGGCAAGAGTGCTCCAACAAAAATTATATTGTCACTTACCTATTAATGAAGACAAGTTTGCAGGCACTCTTTGGTCTATTTTAATTTATATTAATTCTCTGTCAGCCCTCGTTATGGGCATTATTAAACTGCATCCGGAAGCAAAACAAGGCTTTTGACCCGAGCAGGAGTTGAAATAAATCTCTCTCTATCATTTAGCGGCTGTGAGCCGGCAAAATACCTTCACGAGAAAAAGCTGGCAGAGGAAGGTACGTGAGGAGAATTCATAAAAGGAAGCTGACGAGAGTTTGCAGAGTTTTGAATATATTTAAAAGTCTCTGTGCTAACTATGCAGATTCAAAGCACTGATCCAAAGCAGGAAAGAAAGAAAGTAGAATACACAAGACAACTTGTGTCGCATATACTGCAGTCACACTGTTGTACCAACCTAGTCTGATAACATACTTTTTCACAAGACAAGGCTGCACGATATGAGGAAGCTATGCCATATCGTTGTTGAATATTGTGAAATAAATAGATATTATTGTGTACTCAGGTCTGCCTTTCTGCTGCTTTCAATATAAAACCGCATTCTGATCTAGTATCAGGTCAGACTGGTTTAACATAGCATTACTACCTATTTTACTTACATATATTAGCACGTTGGTTTTGTGGGTTTGCTAGTTCAGCTTACTACTGTAGCTCGTGTGGTGGAATCCGTTATGTGTTTCCACATGCTGTTTGAATACATTCATATATATTTCATGTGTACGAGTACATTTCAGCTATCCAAGTGACAAGTCAGGTTTTACATGAAGCAGCAGATAAACTCAGTAACAGAAGAGACAGCGGTATCCATTACTCCACCCACACTAGCCTTAGTCGACCACAATGCAGTGCGACCAGGGGGTCGAGTAGAATTTTTAATAAACGATACACCACAAACTGCTGTTTCGCTCTCACCATTCTGTCACAATTTCCCCTCCTGCACTAAAGTAACATCCATTTCAAACGTTGTTTCAGAGGAGGCCGTGGATGAAAACTCTGCATCACAACATCGATTCTAACGGAATTAATGGGCAGCGATGGGCTAATGAGGCTGAAACGCCACCATTCCAGTCAATTTATCCAAACAGTTGGCCCCCTCGGTTCACATTGCAGTCACGTAAAGCGCAAAATGTACCGCATAGCTCTTGATGGAGATTCTCAAAAAGCTCAAGGTTTTCACTGTGAAGTTCACTGGACAATCACTGCAATTTCATTAGCAGATCCCTCGGCCTCTAACCGAGACAAACCAATCCTCCGACTCCCATTCCAGGAGGAGGGGCCTGCTGCTAAATGATGCGTTGGCTCTCTGTGTGGCTCCGTTGGCTCGTCCAGAGCTTCTGGTCGGTGGAGAGTGGCTAAGCTGCCATGCTGCACTGTGAGACCACCCGTCTGTCTGACCGCTC